CTCTAACTTAAAAATTAAAACTTAGTAGTTGCTTTTTTTTTTAGTTGAGAACTTTCTATTATCACGCTTGCCAACACATGTTTTAAACGATTAATGTCTCTAATTATTAATATTGTAAAATTATAAAAAGTGGATATTAATAAAATATATTGAAAAAATTCAAATAAGATTCCACAAAAATATGTTTTATCGTATCTATAAACCGCAAAAGCAAGTTAAAACGTGTTGTGTAAATAGTGTAAAAGTCAAAATGTGTCAACTAAAAAATTACGGAGGAAGTGTGTATCAATTACCAATGCTTTGTTGAATACAACAAGGTCTAAACGCTACTAAAAAATTTATTGCCGAACACCGTACCCCTCCTAAATCCTAATTGCATTTTTGAAGAAATAGACCGTAGTACTGTTTATATATATAACTCTTCTCACACCCAAATTGGCCAAACACCAACAAGAAATTAAAAAACAGTGGAATTGAATTGCAGCAACTAAAACAGTAGAGTACATAGCACAATTGCATGCATATATCATTATTGTACTTTGATAAACTTTAGGACGATGTAGGTCCAACATTGCTGAAACTTGAGAAAGCTGAAGGATGTACATGTATCATATGTTAGCCTAGTGGTATACTTTAGTCGTATAATATAATTCTACCAGTAACTATTTAATGGTCTCTGACTCTTTGGTAAATTTTGGGATAACACGTGAGATGTTGCTCCTTTTACAGTTCAACGATAAACGGCTTACTAGTATATTTATGGGAGAACTTGTTTTGGTAATTTTGGATGCTATTGAGACTTTAAGAGGATAATATGTCAACTTAATTGCCATTTCATGCAGAAAAAAGAAGTGTACCGTTTTCACCTCTTTTGCTACACATTTTTTACATTCTACTCGAATCTTGCTTACCCTACCCCCCTCCAAGCCCAATGCATGCTTTTGAGGTCGTCTTCATACCTTCACTGCTTCTAATAAATTCCAATTTTTGAATATAGAGACAAAGATATTTTACTCTTAAGTACTCTTGTGTTACACTTATACGGTCTTTATGTCAGAGTTACTGGTTGTACGCGTGATTCTATTTTTATGTAGAGTATATTAATGTTGTTTAAATATACTTTTTACCTTTACTTACTAACCGGTGAGTTATACTTTTAAAACTAAAGAAGAAAAACCACTTATGTGAGATCAGTTTTACTATTCAATATTTGAGTATGTAAAATTGTTTTTTTAGAGAGCCACAAGGGCCAAGATCTCCTTAAAAAGGTAAGGAACGAAGCTCTAACTAGTTAAGCATGTAAAATTGATATCTGTGTAGCTAATATTGTATATAGTAATGTGTCTAGTCTATTTTTATTGGGTAGAAAAGTATCCATGAGACCAGCTATTACCATAAAATCATTCAAATTAAATCTAAGTACTTTTTTTAAAAGGCAAACATTCAAATTTACTTTGCAACATTTTAATCATGGTCAATTCAACTAATCAAGCCACCTGAAATTATCAAAATTTTATGATAGATGGAATGTTGGTTGGGTAGAAGTTAATAAAGTATTTAATTTAGAGACATCATTGCATGCATATAACACAAATCTTTTCTCTATATCCTAAGAATGCTAGCTAATTAAAAAAAATTATATAGAAAGTGGAATGTGATAAATATATTCAAATGATACGATCTATTCTTACTTTATACCACTAAAAAAAAAATGTACTTGAAGAATTATTTAATTTTGTCCCAAAAACAATAAATATTTGGACAATAATAATAACGCACTGCTGTAATGTGAATTTTTTGTGTGTAGGGTACGTAGATAAATGTAAATTAGGGTACCCCAAGAATTGTAGGGTAGTATCCCATCCAAAGAGGGACGAATGCCTAAAATAAAAGAAACAATAAAACGAACCCTAAGCCAGTAATGTCACATTTAGAGGGTGTCTATTATATTGCATTCACTCTTATGCCGTTATAGTACTCTTTTTCCATTAATGCCCCCATGTGTGCGATGTTTCCTCCCCCTTTTTTTTTTTTTTTTTTTTTTGACAAAAATAAAGTAAAAATAATTACAATGCAAAGTAAAATTAAAAATATACCTGTATATATACGAAGTAATAAAAATGGTAACTTCAACTTTCTTGCGAAATTTCTATTCATCATACTACAATTTTGTCAATTTCTTCCATGCATGTGCTACTACCTAGCTATTGTACTTATTATTGCTTTATTTCTCAACTAACATGTAAAATTTTATGTGTTGTTTAATAAGATTGCAATCATACTAATCAAGATGTTTCTTGGGTCCTTAATTAATTTTATAATTATTATTCTTAAATCTATCCAATGTAAGTACGGTTGATTATATAATAATGTTTTTATTTTGTTGCATCTATCTTGCATGCAATCTTCATGTTGAATGGATGAAACTAACATCACGTGTAGACTAGCTAATAGAGTTTTTATTTTAGCGTTTACTGTTTAATCACAATAATTTACTTTTGTGTGGTCAAATCAAACGAGCTTAGTATACACACAAATCCATTTTTATTCCCTCGATCTGGCTTAAATAAGTATCACACTATTTCATTCCTCTTAGTTAAGAATATTCCATGATCTACTAAATTACCTAATCATAGATATCTTTTAATTATTCTCGCCCCTTCATCATCTTACTACCATTCCAACAAACCAAGAGTGGTATGTTTGAAACTAATTTCATCAATTAGATTACATATGATTTATACCGAGTATCTCTACTATTCGCTAATAGGTTTCGTGACAAAATATTCACAATATTACGGGTATTTATTATCTTTGAATTCAATAGATACGAGGTGTATGTACAAACTTAATATATACTTCCTTTGAATCTAGATCTTTTTAGTTGACAAGTATTTTTAGTCACGTTCGCCAATGTACAAATTCAATCATTAATATCTTTAATTACCGATAAGTGAAAATTATAAAAAATTGATATTTTGAAATATAGATTATGGCGGATCCAACAAGCTAAGATCCCACTTGACTATATTTTTTCACATATAAATCACAAAATATGATCAAAACAAAGTGTGTGAATAGCGCTAAACTCAAAACATGTCAACAAAGAGCATCCACTGTAGTTGTGCATAAGGACTTGCTAGCAATTTCTAAATAATCACTAGCTACATGCTAGCCATGCATTGTGGAGCTACAATGTACCTTTTGTAGCTAAGCCAAACTACATAGATCTACTCCACCTAACACACATATATTAATTACTTTAACACGGAGTATTTTTTATGTATTTGTTTATTCTTTTTATAGTTTATTTATTACAAAAGGATGTAGTTTACCATTGTAGAGGTTGTAGTTTAAAACTTGTAGCTTGGATATTAATGATGTAGCAACCCAAAACTACATGTACATGTAGCTAGCCATTATAGATGCTCTAATAAAAAACGGAGGTAGTATGATGAATCCTAAATGTGTGTAAAAATAAAAAATAAATACATAAATAATTTAAAGGAAAGCATAATTGTTCAATGACCAAACACTTTGTACGAATATTTAATTCACATATATATATTTAATCACCTATTTGAATAAATAAATTTGACTCCTGATCATTTGATCAACATTGTCTATTTTTAAGCTAGCTAAGCTAATATGACTATTTGAGGTGTTAGTTGTTAAATCATAGGGAGTACAGTAGTACGATTAGTTTTACCATCACAAGAAATACTTTTCATACTACCTCTGTTTCTTATTATATGCAATAAAGGGTTATTATTTGTGAGACATAAAATATTCCTTTGTTGCATATAATAAGAAACGGAGGTGGTAAATCTTATGATACTCAACATTTCATGTAGATAATGATAACTAACAATACATTACTGATACCTATCAAAATAATACTATTACATTAATGATAACTACCAACCGATTACTGTTTGTAGTGGAAAAGTGTAGTAGCAAAACAACTTGTAACTTGAGGAACATGCAATCTGTAGTTATACCTTCTTTTTAATTACGGAATATGCCTTTTTAATTAATGTAGCTTCTTCTTCTTCGATACGCTTTACTACATTTTTGTATCTCTTTCTTTTATAATTATTTTTTTTTATCACATACAATGACCTTGTATTTACATGGTTGGACCATTTTCTTTCACTCTCACATTAAAAAATTAAAAATAAAAATAAAACACAACATATTTTAACTTACAACGTTTTGTTTTTTTTTTTTTTGGTGTGACCAATCACACACTCACACCATGTGGCAAGCACACACCCAAACACTGTTCCGATAACCCCATACTGATTGATTAACCCTTAATCAAATACTTCGTACTCCGTAATCCTGATCATACAACTCTTAACCGAGTAAGGGTCTATTCTGATTTACTGAATTGGGCTGAATTGAAGCTGAACTGAATTGAACTGAACTTAATATAGCTGAAATGAATATTTTATAAGCGAAGGAAATTAAAAGCTGAACTGAACAGATTGGAGCTAACCTGAATTGAAATTAAGTTAAAGAGAATAATCCTTAATCCCAATCATATTATGTAGTCAACTACATGAGAAATTTTTTTAAAAAAGTGTAAAAGTTAAATCGAGTTAAACAAAAACTTATTGAGGATCCTCCAAAATAAACCTTATAGAGGAGACAAATTTTTAAAAAGTCATCAAGGGCAAAAATGTCAAAGCAACCGAATAAAAAATTCCACAGGAATTACGCTTAAGACCAATTCTTTACCAAACAAGAAAAAATTAGGAAGTGATCTTAACCACACGATTGTAACGGAAAGGCTTCCCCGTTTTCCTTTTTTTATTACCACACTTTTTAACCGACTATCACCGGTCATTTTAACAACCGTACGTGGCACATCCTGATTAGCTAAATCCACATTTGGCCTAATCCCATTTGTATAACGGCGCCGTCAATTCTCTCCCGTTACCGTAACGGCGTTTTGGACCACTTTCATTTTTATAACCCCAAAATCTGAACCGTTGATACGGAATCCCTTTCTCTTTCTCTCTCTACAAAAACCAAACACTTTCTTCCCATCTCTCTCTTTCACAATTTGACGAAAGGATAACAAACAGGAGAGAGAGTATTTGGTTCAGAGAAAATTATGGGGAGATATTTGGGGAAATGTAAAGGTGTAGTCGGCGAAATTGCGGTCGTCGGAGTTCGAACCAGAGCTCGAGCTGCCCTAGCTATGGCGGCGGCAACAGCTAATACTACTTCATCTCCTGCGAAGAAGATCAAGAAGGTTTCCAAATCGTCTTATAATATTCCTCAACTAAGGAATCGGCGGAAGAATTTGTCGGCGCCGGAGAAAACGACGTCGTCGGAAGTTGCGGCGGTTGTTGATGAAGAAGAGGTTGCGAATTGCTCTAGTAGCGAGGTGATTACGACGGCTAGGTCGGATTTTCCGCCGTCTTGTTGCTCAAGCAATTATGATCAGTTGAGTTCAAGCGAAGCAGAAGAAGTTGTTAAAGATCATGATTGTTTGGGAAATAGTACAGCAGATCCAGAGGTAATTTAATTTATCATCAGAAATTAATTTATTCGATATTATTATCATTATTTCTCTGAATTTGTGCAAGGATGTTGAGAATTTTTTCAACTTCCAAAATTATTATAGCAGCAGCAGCATATAATTAATTCTTCAATTCTGGTTTTTACTGCTGTCTCTGTATTCTGTATAAATGCTTGTCGTTTTTTTTTTTTTTTAATTTCTTTTAATTTTTCAAATAAGTCGGTGGAAATTATTTTGAAAATTTTGATTAATTCCAAAATTGATGAACAGGTTGAGAGTGCAGCTGAGACGTCGTCAAAGCAAAAGGAAGAAGAGTGCCATAGAACAGAACTTAGGTGAGAGAAATTCTGTAAAAGATTCTCTTACAATAAAACTGTTATATTTCATTCAATTTAATTTAGTTTTTTCAAAATTAAATTAAATTTCATGTGATATAAGTTCATCATACGTTTTATATACAATGTACCGGAAATTTGAAATTCAAAACGAGTGATCTTTTAATTCATCTTTAAATTTAATTTAAAACGTCTTGCCTTTATATTCTCCCTCTCTCCTCTTTTTGTTAATTTTCTTCTTTTTTCTCTCTCCTAACTCGCCATGTCAACTCTCAGAGAAGCTACAAAATCAGACGGCCAGGATTCTCAGGCGACGAAATCAACGGCTCAGATCAGGATGCCGTCTGATTCAGAAATCGAAGAATTCTTTGCTGCTGCTGAGAAAGACATCCAGAAACGCTTCAGCGATAAGTAAGCCAGAGCATCCATTATTTCCTTAATTCAATAACTTCCTTATTTTATATATAAAAAAAAAAAAAAAAAACTGAAATCTGAACAAAACGCGTCGTTTTTTCAGGTACAATTTCGACATAGCAAAGGACCTACCATTAAAAGGTCGTTACGATTGGGTTCAAATAAAGCCATGAATAAAGAAACTGGTGAATAGTGATGATGATGAATGAATTACTGAATTCTTCCACAATTAGCAGCTGAAAATTGCAAAGTAAATCTTTAATTTTAGCTTTTTCTTTCTTTTTAGCAGAAATTGATCTAATTTCTCAACCCAACAAAAAAAAAAAAAAAAATCAGTAATTCTACTGTTAATTATTAGCAGCTAATTTTCTCTTTAAAATTAATTTTTAGTAGAATTATTTTTTGTTGATGGGAAATTGAAGAAGAATACAATCGCTAGAAGAAGAAGAAAGTAGTGGGTAGTAGTACTAGTGGGGTTGTACATTCTGTCTCCTTTTGTATCTTCAGTAATAGTAGTATCTATTACTCTTTCAGAGAAGTCAGTTGATTTCAAGTACAAAGAAAAGAACCTCCCTTACCATTTTTTCAGTCTAATAAATTACAGTAAAAAAAAATTAATTTAATTTAATTTTTTTGTGGTTGTGAAAATTAAATTTTGTAATTTTCCGGCCTCCAAAATTGGGGGGTGTCTTATGTCTGATTGATTTTCTGTTAAAATTTGTACGATCAAATGCAGTCAGTGCTGAATGCTGATGGATGGTTACATTCATTGATTATCTTTCTTTTTTTTTCTTCCCCTCAACTTCCTCGCATAATATTTGCAGAGAGAATTTATTTTGGGAATATGCGGTTTTTTGTTGTTTTCTTTACCCGTCTTTTTCTTGCCTATTTTATTTTATTATTTCACTCTGTATCTTTTTTTTTCATAATTAAGAAAATATAATTATGAAAAATTTGGGTGTACTGTACTGTAGAAGTGTGAATAATTAAGAGTAATTGATGGTCGTCTTGGCGTGTAAGTTACGGACACGTTGACAAGATTAGGAATCTAATCTATATTATACGATCCAGTCGCATGTGATACAGAGACTTCCATTGCCATGGCTGGTTAAACAAAATAATGTATGTGATTATGTGAATATATGTACAAGTATATTATTATTATTCGAAATGTATTATTTGAGGAGCTGGCGATGACAAAATTGTTTTGGAATATTTCGTATGATGATTGATTAATTATATCTTTTACGGAGTATTATACAAGATGAAAAAAGGGGCTTTGAATTTATATACTCGTACTACAGAAGAAGGAAAAAAAAAAAGAAGAGGGGTAAAAAAAAGTGTGAAAAATTGTGATTCTGGATCAGAGGAGGGGCAGATGATTGAGGTCCAAGCATCACACGGAAAGTGTGGTGAATATGTGAAAAGGATGTGCCAGTTTACCAATAATAGATAAAAAAAGTAAAGTGTGAGAATCAATTAGACTACTCCGTATAAAAGTTGCTTTTTTCTCCTGTTTATTTTCTCTTCCTTTATGTCACTATTTCCGTGTGTGTGCAAACATTTATGGTCTTCATGAATCAAAGTTGTAAAAGATGACTTTGATTGATTCTTTTTATTTCAATTTTTGGACCTTCATTCTTTATCTCTCCTTTTAATTTTTTTTTTGTACAATAACTACGAGGTACTGTAGTACAATTTTGTATTACGGAGTACTAATTACGTTTATCTATATTCTAGTCGTTTTCCGTTCAAAAAAAAAAATCTAATTGTTTTTCATTTGTATTTGTACATTTTGCTCGAATTGTTTTTACTCTATGATTGAATAAATTTATTCCATGTTTTCTTGACATTTTCCTTCTATTTATTTATAATTTTCTCTATTATTTTCAAAGTTAAGTAACTTCAATTGATGGATTGTCCCTTAATAGTTCACTTTTATTGTTGTTACATTAATGGATATATAGCTTATGGCTTGTTTTGATTTACTGAACTGATTGGAGTTGACCAGAACTGTGATTGGAGCTGAACTGAGACCCTTAGTAAATCAAAGGTACTATACGTTTTGTATTTAGTTTGATATGGAAAAAAAAACTATTTTGAGTGATATGTGTTGATGACAATACATCATCTTCTATAATGAGAAGGGTATGTGAAGCCATGTAAGTCGAACAAAATCCTCACCCACAATGGTATGAATGTTACAAAGGTATCAGAAATAATTAAATAGCTAGAGAGGACGACTTTGACTGCTCATCCATTTAGTATGAGCTTATAAATAAATGCAATGATTATTAAGCCTTGCTTTACGTTAAATTTTGCATAGAAATTCTTATATGCAGAGCTAATGTACAAGGGCAATACATCCGTTGTTACAGGAACATTAATACATACATGACTAGTATCGATGAATTATAAGCTTATTCATAGCCCTAATCTTAATGCGTATGGTATACGAAATTTTATTCGGATGACCTTTTCTTTTAAATGAACAGTCATTCTCATACACTCTGTTTCCCTTTTTTTCCTACTCTATAACCATAAACTGTTTTTTTGTTATTGATATGGGATCACCAGTGATGAATGGTGTATTAATAGTTACACTTTGGAAGGTGGTTAGAGCTCATATAGACATGGAAGTGGTCCTAAAACTTAAAAAACAAAAAATGAATTATGCAAGATCAAAGAATTGAGAAATAAAGAGAAAGAGAAAGAGTGGGTGGAGCCCACTTTTGGGGGGTAGAAAGAGGAAGGGTAGGGTGTGTAAATTGGCAGCAACATAGTTATCATTGCAATTCATCTTCATACTTGGACAATTCAGGATGAGGCACATGCCTCAGATTCTCTAACTTTGTCTCTTGGGATTAACAAATTAATTCACACTAAAACAACCTCCTTTTTTTTTTTTCTTTTTTAAAATTTTTTTTTTGAAATTTTTATTTTTAAATAAACACTAAAACAACACATTACCACTTATCTTGGGTTTCTACTACATGTAGGTTCGAAATAAGGGATAGTTATGATTAGGATTTTCAAATTTTAAGTGTATTTTATGATTTTACAATTAGAATTTGGTATATGAACATGCATGTATTATTATTGCATTTAGGTGGATTTTCTTTTAATACAGAGTATTTGTTAAGATTAGGGTCTGTTCACATTTATTTAATTTCAGTTCAGTTCAGCTCCAATCAGTTTATTACAGCTCTAATCAGTTTAGTTCAATTCAGTTCAGTTCAGTTCAGCTCCTAATTTTCCTCTCTCATAAAATATTCATTTCAGCTCAGTTCAGTTCAGCTCCAATCAGTTCAGTCTAGTTCAGCTCCAATCAGTTCAGTTCAATCCAGCTCCGTACTTATTCTACACAAATAATTTTTTTTTAATATATACAATCGTGCTAAATGTCTCAAAAGCATTTGAACTCACACCTTATACAAACTAAGATCAATTACTGGCTTTCTTCCATTTTTATAGGCTAAAGAATTTAGCTAAAATTGATCTAACATGTATGAGTTTATATTTCAAATTGAAAAAATTTGAATATAAGATGTATGTAGGAGTATTAAAAAAGAAATTTGGAAAAGCACTCAGTAATTTAATTAAAATATTTTCAAGAAAAGAAAATGGTGATGATGATTTATGACAATGAAGATTTTCTTTTAGAAGGAATATGCGCTAAGGATTGGTGTTGGCAGGGGAGTGGAAATATACTACAGAAAAGGTGGCTTGATTTAGAAATTGTTTAAGAAAAACTGTATTTAATTTATTCCTTTTTTTTTGACATAGATAATTTATTCCAATTTAAATAAATACTCGTATAAAATTATGTTGTCTCAGCGAATGAAGTTTGTTCATAATGATGATGCATGTGGATGTGGGTAGCTACTTTTACTTCCCTGCAGGCAACACTCTCCACCTTTTTGGCACTGTTAAGCTCTTTTGTTTTTCTAATTTTTAAAAACTCTTTGTTGTTTTTTTGTTTTTGTTTTTGTTTTTTTTTTCCTTTTTTTTGGTACAAATTTTAAAATTGAATATGGCTGATTAATTGAATATCTCCTTCGCCTCAATTATTCCCATTACTTTATCATTGAAAAATGATATTAATAAATATCTTCTCCTTATAATTGGATATATAAAAAAGACATAGATATGTCATAATGACATTCATTATAGAGTTGTGTTTGACCTATGTTAGTTGTTACGTTATGTATGATATAAAATTATAAACTAAGACTCTTTAAAGATTTGGGGAAAAAATTAGAAAAAGTTTAGCTCAAAAAAAGAGGGGGGGGATTAGAAAAAGTTTAGCTAAAAGAAAAAAGGGGGCACGCATGAGTCAAAGATTTAAAATTAGGGCTTACTTAAGTTCAATGTACATCTAATACAAGTTTAAATTTAGCAAAGTATAGATTTTCTAGTATAGGAAAGAAAGGTTTAAATAACTTTAAAGTAGTGAAATAAAAATTAAGTGGATAATGCAACACACTTGTAATAATATGTATGACTTTAAGTGTTTTTGTGTCAATTGTAGAACAATATTTAGGTAGTTTATCTCATTCTAACTAATTATGAGACATTAAAACTTACATCAACCCTCAGATAATAAGTACTGAGTAGTTGCCATTAAAATGGATTAGTCACATCTTACATTTATTTTTCATACTATACTTTACCCAAATGTAACTAAAATACAAAATGTGTTTCAATGTTTGTGCATTCTACCTTTATTATCCATATTGTTGTTATGTTATGATGGTATCAAATTACAAGCATCTTTCAAATTTATAGTACATGTACAACACTACTACCTAGCTATCTGGTCATACATGATAGTATGATACATTTACTTACAAATATTTGTGACACTTTCGGTGCTAGTAGTATAGCTGAACTGAACTGATTGGAGTTGTACTGAACTGAACTGAACTGATTGGAGTTGAACTGACTGAACTGAAATGAATATTTTATGAGAGAGAGATATTAAGAGCTGAACAGAACTGAACTGAACTGAACTAAAATGATTGAAGCTGAATTGATTAGAGTTGAATTGAATTGACTGAACTAAAATTAAGTAAATGTCAATAGGCCTTAAGCTAGTATCCATCCTTAGCTTCTTAGTATTTTTGTTTTTTCTTATCACTAATTGTGTTACAATTTTCGTTAAATGTTAAATAGTACGTGATTAGTTAGAAGTTATTTTAAAAAATAAATAAAGGCATTCTGTATATGTATAAATAATACGGAGTAGTGGTAAGGTCATGCATGTGCATGTTAAAAATGAGTATTACGTACGACCTTAATGGCATTATGAGTTATCAACTTCAAATGTCAAAGAATAAAAAAAACAAAAATAAAATTCCAAAAACAAAAGATCAAATAAAAGGGAGTTAGGAAGATCCAAAACCTAGCCCAAAACAAGGAGATAGAAACATGCTCTATAAAGCACAAGTATACATCATCAACATACACCAATGCAATAGCGGCTACTACATACATGCACTTCCAAGAGACATCATCCAAAATCTGCATAACTTCAATTAATTTTTAATTAAGTCATCTATCTATGAGCTAATTAATATGTCTGATTCAGCAGATTTTACCCGATAAATTGGAGAAGTTGACCTAATTTAGTCTATGTTTTTGCATTGATTAAACAAGTGGATACTACTCAGTCTATTTTAACTTTAATTTGTTCATTAATTCACATTAGTATATACTCTTAATTTAGGGCTAGTTGAAATGTTGAATAGTAGTACTAGGATTACAGATTCCTTAGCAAGAAAATTCATTGGTTTGTATTCTCGTGATCCGGGAATATTTGATAATTAATAGTGTCTTAAACAAATACTCCATAGTTACACTATTATGGATTTTTAAGGGTCTAATACTCTAATTTAGCAGTTGATGTCCACTACTTCCTCCAACTTCATTATGCAACCTTACAAATTTTGGAATTAAATTCTACAATAATCATCCTTAAAATGACTACCATTGTATTTAATTTTCACTAGCCGATTTTTATTTATTTTTTGTTGGGCAAACTAATTAAAAAATGGTAATTACATCAAAAGTAAAATCATTGCATACAAATGTAGTATATAATCACACTAAACTTAACAAGGTAGTAGCTTATACTCATATTAGGCCACAAGTTATGCACATTGGAAAATTCTACTATGGTCCATTTCAAATGGACTACCACTATACTCTAATCTCATTGGATGATTTTATCTTTTTTTTTTTATAGCATGGTCAAACCTTAAATTAGGTAATTTCCATTTTTAATTCATTTTTTATTCTTTTTTGTTTTTCCATAATTTAATTACTGTATTTCCAAAATTCATTTTATAATTTTCGAAATTTATTTATTAAATTCAATTTTTAATTAAATCAAAAAACAAGATTAAATTAATAAAACAAAAAAAAAAAATTCATCAAAGTTCTTCGTAGTTCATCAATGT